GGCAGTCTCACTCTTCTGCTCAGCTCCATGCAGCGTTGACACCTGTCTCTATCTGTTGCAAGTGACGATGCATGTGTTTTATCAAAATAAATTCAAGACGATGAAAAAGTTATAATGCTCGTATGCGTGTATTCTTTTTAGATAAAACACAGTTTGACTTTGTTTTCATTCTATTCATTGAAATACTATGCTAGGAAGAATCTGGCGACCTCCCCGGCCGATCAAGAAAGAATCATCTGAACCTCGCCAGTTTTGTTTTGCTCTTAGCGATGGAAATGAGATAGATGATCAAAGTATCACCGATGCCGGTGAGCCACCGTTAGTGGATGATTCACAATCACAACAACAAAAATTGACTCAGGAACAATTACAACAGTTGTTTTCTCGAGCCAGTTCTCAATTAATCGCACAATCCAATGATCAACAGGATTTTTTCAAACGTGATGCCTCAATCAAGGCACCAAAAACTGGTCAAGTCATTCAAACACCATTTCCTCCACCTGCTGAAGATCGCAAAGAAGATGTTGACATCGATCCTGAACAATTAAAACAATTAGCTCAACAAGAAGCAGGTCCGCTCATCATCGAACGATACTCTCCAAGTGAAACTGAAATAAAGCATCCAATAACAGCAGTTACGATCACGTTTAACCAGCCGATGATCGCCGTTTCTACACTGGATGACAATACGAATGTAGAAAATCTTGGCATATCATTGACACCCAATGTTGAAGGTCGATGGCGATGGACAGGAACAAAAACGGTTCAATTCGAAGCAAAACATCGTCTACCATTCGCAACAAAGTACACATTACAGGTCAAGAAGGACAAATGTGTATCAGCAATTGGAGGTAAGTCTTTCAAAGAATTTATCAAATACCAATTGCTCTTTTTTCGTCTCTTAGGAAAATTAGCAGATGAACTCTCATTCGAGTTTGCTACAACGCCACCAAATGTTGTTCAATTTTCACCATATGATACAGTTACAACATTGAAACCGAAATGTTGCTTATTATTCGATCAAAAGATTGACCGAAATCAAATCTTGCAGCATTTACGCATAGTCAGCAGTGGCCAACGTCGAATAGCAAATAATGATTTGGAATTGTTGGATGAAGCCACAGGAAAAAAGGAATTCGAAGGAATTTTTAGTTCGAATGAAGGAGCGGATGAAAGATATGTTGCATTCACATTCAAAAATGATCTGTCAAAAGCGACACAATACACTGTTACGGTACCTGCAGGTTGTCCATCAGCTGAAGGCCCATTGAAAAGTAAATCAACGTGGTCAGCTGGGTTTAAAACGTACGAACCTCTAAAAATTACTCACTGGCGACCAAATAAGGACGACAAGTATCAACCATCGGTTAATCCAGGCGAAAGTTGGTCAATTACATTCAATAACTCATTGGATCATTCAACAGTCAATAAATCAATATTTAAAATTGAACCGGAAGTCAGTGGTTTAGGTAAATCGAGCTAAGAATCAACATACGAAAGTAAAATTTAATTTTAGGCATTGAACGTGCTGAGTATAATGATCAGCAGATCATTATACACAATAATTCCAAACCCAACACTGTTTACACATTGACCATTCAACCAGAAGTCTTGAAAGATATTCATGGTCAAACATTGGAACATAATTTTGCTGCGCAACCCATAAAGTTTCATGTACACAAGTCACCACCGCCACGAGGTCATCTGTCAGGCGCTACAGGTGCGTTAGATACTTAATGCCTGCTTTTTCATACGTGAAAGTCCTTCTAGGTATAATTATCATGGATCCCGGTGTATTAGATGATCCATTTTATCCATTTATGGTTTACAACTATTCGGAAGTAACAATTCGTGTTAATCGAGTTCAACCAGAAGATTACCGACGAGATTTGCCTTGTTTCCAACCGTATCTGTATGAACATCGGAAACGAGTACCGAATACTCATCTGCCAGGAAAGGCATTAGTAAATCAGACAATACAGACGAATTGTGAACGTGATGAACCGAAAGAGTTGAAATTTCCATTGAAATCATATTTAGCACAACATTCAGGTGTTGGTCAAATAATGATTTTGATCGAACCAACCAAAAAAGCTTGGAATCAATGTCAACATGAAGAATGGGAAGAAAGACCCGTCATATCGGCTTGGTTACAATGTACTCAATTGGCGATTGATGTGTTTCATTCATCAGCACGGGATGGCACAACTACTCGCTTTACAACGTGGATTACTGATCTAATGTCCGGCGTGCCTATTCAACAAGCAACTGTCTCCATATCGAACCAGAAAGGTGAAACAAATCAACAAGGATTATGTACCATCCTTCATAATACTGCGAAAGGAAACAGCCGAGAAAAAATGCTGATAGTACGAAAAGGTGAAGATTTATGTATGCTACCAGACATCCACTGTTATGCTTCAAATGTGAATACTTATGTTTGGCACGTATTTAACGATCGAGGTTTATACAAACCGAAAGAAGAAGTGCATATCAAAGGATACGTTCGATTCTTGGCAGTGAAAGGTGATGCTAAACTGCCAACTTATGCGCAAGGTGTTGTTGATTATACAGTCCATGATCCTCGCGGTCAACAACTTCTAGCATCCAAAGTTAAATTGAATAGTTATGGTGCATTCGATATCAAATTTACTTTGCCTGACAAAGTCAATTTAGGTATGTTTGATATTTGAAAAATCGTCTTAATTGCATCTGTCGACTCCTCCATTAGGTGAAGGATGGGTAACATTCAATTTACCAAGCTCACAAACTAAAACAACACATTCTTTTAAAATTCAAGAATTTCGTCGACCAGAATATGAAGTTTCATCATCGACTCGACCAACGACTGTTCACTATTCTCATCCAACCAATGATCAATACATCATTGCAAGTTGTCAAGGAAAATTATTTGCTGGTGGTTTCTTAAGTGATGCAAATGTTCAATGGAACGTCAGTGCTGAAACAACAACATTCACACCACCGAATCGATCTGAATATACATTTGGTAGAGCTCGACCATTCTTTTGTTGGTTTGGTAATAACGATGACAACAAAACAACGTATCCTTTACAATACTTCCAAGGTAGAACCGATAGTAGAGGTGCACATGAAGTGAAAATCATTTATCATGGTATTGAAACTGAACCAAGACCAACGATGGTTCGTACATTAGCAGCGATTACTGATTTGAACAATCAAACACAAGAAACACAAACACAATTTCTTATTCATCCATCGACGTACTATGTTGGATTTCAAATGACAACGAATTATGGTAAAAAAGGTCAACCCATACAAAGCAAGGTTATTGTTACAGACGTCGATGGAAATTTAATTGATAATGTTTCCGTTGAATGCAAAATTGCTGGTACTGGGAAAGAAAGAAAAGAAGATGCAAATGGTCTAGCCATTTATGAAGAGATCAAAGATGAACAACAAATTACTGAAGTCAGTTCAAATAAAGATCCCATTACTATGGAATTTACACCGAAATTAGGTGGCCAATATAACATCACATTTACTGTCAAGGATGAACAAGGACGACCATCAATGAGTTTCTACGAAAATCTTTATGTTACTGGTGGTACTGGAAAAGAAATGGAACGACAAAAAGTTGAATATATTCCAACAGACACCTTGACGATTATACCGAATGCAACAAATTATCAAGCAGGTGATAAATGTGAATTACTGGTCTTAGCACCATTTAGTCCAGCTACGGGTCTACTCGTCTTCGATTGTGAAGGTGAAGTTTCACAACCAATACAATTTCAAGTCGAAACTGGAAAAGATTCGGCAATAGTTGAATTTCAAATATCACAGGATTGGATACCAGGATTTACCGCAAACATTGAATTGACAGGCTCGCTTCCAAGAGAAGCAGATGAAGGCGAAGTACCTAATCGTCCAGCTATTGCTGTTGGTTCGATAGCGTTGGAAGTTTCCAGAGATATCTACAAACTAAATGTTTCAGTCAATACAAAAAATGAACAGAAAACTTTTACTCCATCATCAACTGTTCATATTGATGTTGATGTTACACAGTTCAAAGATAAAACACCGGCAAACAAAGCAGAAGTTTTTCTACTTGTCGTTGACGAAGCGATTCTGTCACTAACTGATTACAAATTGTCGAGTCCATTGGATGTATTCTATCCCAACCGACCAACAGCTATTTCACAGCAGCATGGTAGAGACCGTTGTTTATTATTCAATATGCAAGATATACAACAATTTAAAAAAGAAATGCAGGAAAGCGCGGCGAGAGGTATTGGCGTAGAGGAATTGGAACGTCAATGCTGTTGCTGCTGTTCATCATCGGCAAAACGTCGTTGTCGTAGCTGTTGTTGTATGGATGCTGATTTCGGTGGTGGTGGTGGTGGTGCCACTGCTGATCAATCAATAGCAGTTCGTTCTAACTTCAATCCATTGGCATGCTGGGTACCGTCATCATCCGTAAATTCGTCGGGACACGTTTCATTCGACTTTAAACTACCTGATAATCTCACACGTTATCGTGTATGGGCTATCGCAACAAATGAACAGCAATATGGTTTAGGTGAAATAGCGTTTACTGTACAATTACCAGTTATGATACGACCTTCACCACCACGATTTCTCAACTATGGTGACACAGCTAAGTTTTCAGTTGTTTTACAGAATCAAACTGATCAACCATTATCATTACATGCTGGTCTAAAAGCAACCAATGCCAAACTAATTACATTGGAAACCAATCAACAAGTTGCTGGTTATGCCGTTCAACTTCAACCGAATAAACGAGCAGCTGTTGTATTTCCATTGTCAACAGTCGATGCAGGTACAGCACGTTTTCAATTTATTGTCAATACAATTCCAAATGGAAATCAAGTATTATTTGGTGATGCCATTGAATTAAGTGTGCCCGTTTTTACACCAGCAACATCAGAAGCATTTGCAACGTATGGTGATATCAGCGAAGAAAACATTGTTTTTCAACCAATTAAAACACCCGAAAATGTGATTCCACAATTCGGTGAATTATCAGTTTCAACGAGTTCAACAGCATTAGCATCATTAACAGATGCCATTATTTCACTGTATACATATCCATACGAATGCTCAGAACAATTGAGTTCAAGATTATTGGGTGTGCATGCATTGTGGGACGTTCTACAAGCATTTCAATGCAAAGATTTACCACAAACAACTGAAATAGCAACAAAATTACAATCCGATATGAATACATTGAAAGGCCGTCAATATCCAAATGGTGGTTTCGGTTATTGGACAAATCGAAGTGATCGTCTTACTGATCCATTCGTCAGCATACATGTCACTCATTGTTTAGTTGTCGCCACAAAGAAACGGGTAAAGAGCGGCACACCATCTTGAAATAAAACTAAGATTTTCTTTTGAAGATATGCGACGTCAATAGGAATATGTTGAAAAATGCTCTTCGATATGCAAGTCATATTGAATCGGAAATAAACGAATTACCATACGCGAAGTATTGGAGTGAAACAACTAAATTTAGTTTGATGAGTTATGCATTATATGTACGCGCAAAAGATGGACAAAATGTTGCAAATGAAGCTGTGAAACTATTTGAGCGAAGTGGATTGAAAAAGCTTAGTTTAGAAGCATTAGGTTGGCTCTTAGTGGCATTATCAACTGAACAAAATAAGCAAGCAACTGCATTGATTGATTCGATTTATAAACATCTTAAAGGAAAAGTGAGTGAAACTGCTGAAACAGCCAATTTTATCACATCGTATGGTGATGATGGTCAATCAGTTATGTTGCATTCGAATCAACGAACAGATGCCATTCTGTTAGAAGCATTATTACACATCGATCCACAATCAACACTTTGTACAAAAATATGTAAAGGTCTCCAATCACATAAAGTCAAAGGTGCATGGAAATCGACACAGGAAAATTGTTTCGTTTTGATTGCATTAGACAAATATTTTCATATCAAAGAAAAAGATACACCAAATTTCGTTGCAAAGATTTGGCTTGATAATGATTATTGTGGTCAACATCAATACAAAGGTCGAACAACAAATACAACGACAGTCGATATTCCAATGAAAGTTGTTCTCTCCCAAACAAATGACAAAAATCTAATCATGCAAAAAGATGGTCGAGGTCGATTGTACTATCGTATTGCATTNGCATTAGACAAATATTTTCATATCAAAGAAAAAGATACACCAGATTTTGTTGCAAAGATTTGGCTTGATAATGATTATTGTGGTCAACATCAATACAAAGGTCGAACAACAAATACAACGACAGTCGATATTCCAATGAAAGTTGTTCTCTCCCAAACAAATGACAAAAATCTAATCATGCAAAAAGATGGTCGAGGTCGATTGTACTATCGTATTGCATTAAATTATGCACCAACAAGTTTACAATTAAATGCTGCTAATTATGGTTTTAAAATCGAACGTACCTATGCAGGTGTTGATGATCCATCCCATGCTCAAAAACAAGAAGATGGCACATGGAAATTCAAATTAGGTGAGAAAGTTAAAGTTATTTTAACAATGACAACAACACAACGACGATATCACATTGCATTAGTGGATTATTTACCAGCTGGATGTGAAGTATTGAATACTCATTTGAAAGGGACAATAACCGGTGATACAGATTCGTCTGTGACAAGATCAAATCGACGTAGATATTATCCAAATTGCATTACTGGTTGGACTGAACACGAAAATTTACGTGATGAACGCGCTGAAGCATTTCGATCATTATTATGGCCCGGTGTTTATCAGTGGAGTTACATTATGCGTGCAACATGTGCTGGAACATTCACCATGCCACCAGCAAAAGCAGAAGAAATGTATTCACCAGAGAATTTCGGTCGATCGGCAACAGAAAAGGCGATTATTAACTAAGAACATTTCTTTTCACGTAGTTAGCTTTTTCACCAGAATATTTTAATCATGTATAATAAACTAGACTTATTTCTTTATACAACTCTTATTCGCAGTAGTGATCAATAAAATCAATAGAGAAATATTGTCTAATATTTACTCGATCTTTATCAAATCTTGTTGTAATCTTTTTAATAACTGGGAAATATGATTTGTAGTCAACGTTATCTTGTTACACTTTACTGCTTGATTCGACAATGCTTTACATTTGTTTTCATCTATGAAACAAACGATCAGGCGAAAACACGTTCTTACGAATGCATTCCTTACGCGAATCTAAAGAGGTTTTATATTGGAATTCAGGAATTGCATTTAGCGGATTCTTATGCAGCGTATTTGAATAAGTAAGAAAAGGATTCTCTGCAAAGTTAAGCATCCATTAAGATTGCTGTTTAGTTTGAGTGATCATACATCTAACTATGGTAAAGATATGTTTTTATGTAATTGCACAAAACTTGGTACATTCGGCAAATTCTGTGAATATTATTTTATGAGTAATTCAACTTTTCAAGAAACAATTGAATATCAATTTAGTGTAAAGAGACTACAAAATTTTGGAAGTCAATATGTGGGAAATCGAACATGTTACAAAACTTTAGAATGTGATTTTGGTTTGCTATGTCTCGATTCGAGAAATATATGTGATGGCAAACAACAATATATTGATGGTTTAGATGAAGATCATTGTGAATTACTCGAATATAATGAATGCCAACCGAATGAATATCGATGTGTAAATGGACAATGTATTGAAATCGAATGGATCTGTGATGGTGAATGGGATTGCGCTGATGCCAGTGACGAAGAAGGTTTCCTCGCAATAACTAACCTGTCGTCACGTAACTCGAAAATTCTTAATTTCAAAGAAATAAAATTAAAATGTGAAGCAAAATATGAAATCCTTCCATTTTCAAATCTTTGCACGAAGTTTCAATATCCATGTTTATTGGCCAATGTCAAAGATCCATTTAATTTCAATGCAAATCCTCCGTGTATAAGCATGACGCAGATAGGCGATGGTCATTGCATTCCGTATGGTGAGCAATGGACTCATCGTTGCTTACACGGTGAAGACAAAACTTTATATTTTTATCTAAAAAATAATTCCAAAATCCGTTGCAACGGTAATCCAGTCGATCCTGCATATTCGTATCCAGATGTTCATTGTCTCAATGGTACATGTATACCAGATGCCAGATGGAATGGAAAGTCTGAATGTCCTTATGGTGAAGACGAATATTATTGTCGTAGTATAATACTTCTACTGAGAAGGTATCTAGGTGGCAAACGTCCTCATATGAATGTGACCTCACAAATTGTTAATTTGCCGGACTACCCAGAAAAAACTGTCGGCATCTTACTAGAGAACTCCGAAGAAGAGCCAAATGATCTTTTGCAAAATTTCCCCGATTTCTCCTCTCTTACCTCGAAAAGAAGATCATCTTTCCGAGCTAAGATAGTGGATGACTACGCGTATTTAGATTGAAGCATGGATATGCGATCGAGGCGTAGCGATTAAACAACAAATTGATGAATTGTCAAATTCAATCATTCAATGTTTCTGTCCATCCAGCTATTTTGGCCGATTCTGTCAATATTTCAGCGATCGGATAACGGTTATAACACGTCTAGAAGGTTTAAAATATGTTTGTAGAAATTCAGAAGAATTGTCGAAGGTAACAATTAAGATCTTAGCAGTATTAATTCACAATGACAGTGAAATTGTTGATCATAATGAAATCCATTTTACACCATCATTAAATGATCTGAATGAAAAACGGAAATTTTATTTGATTTATTGAAAACCAAGAAAGTTATCTCGAAATCAGATTTATAAAATACAATTCGAAGCATTTGGACTGAATGCAGTTACAACAATTCGATTTTTAGCTGTTTGGGAATATCCAATTGAGTTTAATTTTCTTCCATCATTTCGTCTGGCAAAAATATTAAAATTTCAGAAAAACGATCATTTAATTTGGCAGACAAAGTTCTGTCAAAATAATGGAATTTGCTCTTCTATAATGAACATAAACGATTCAACAACGTATTTCTGTTCTTGTGCTACGAATTTCTATGGAAAAAATTGTGAATATTTTGACCAATCAAGTTGTTCCGTATGTTCATCAAATTCTCTATGTCGAATTCATTATCATTACACAAACTTATCATTATGTTTATGTTCAATCAATCGTTTTGGTCCGACATGTCATCTCGGAAGAAAATGTGATATGTTTCAGAACAAAAATTCCTGTTTGAATAAAGGATCATGTTATGTTTTAATACAATCAAGATTCCTTAATAAAAGATTATATTTGTATCTGTCAAAGTCAATATTATAGTGATCATTGTCAATATATATATCAGATGAAATTAATATCAAATAGACGATTAATGATCGAGATGAAAATACGATTTTAGCATCTGTTGTTCAACTATATAATTATGATTCTGTGACATTGGATTTCATTTTGGAAAAACAACAAAGTTCGAAAGATAAACGAATGCATTCAGACGTTGTTTATCCAAGAAAAATTTTGCCGAAATTTGGTTTTTTGAAAATGTATTATGGAGATGTACAAGATTTTACAATGACAATCCGAGTGAAATATTTTCTTTTGTATTGTCGAAGCGACGAGAAAAATCTTACTTTAACAATTAATTTAAATCACAACAATTCTTGTCAACATGCACATTTACTATTACTCACAAGTAAATCGATCTTTCTCAAATAGCCTCGTTTCCAACTTTCTCTCTTAAGATATGAATATTTCGAATACAACAACTATGGTGTTCAAATATCATACTCTGTGTCAACGTCAATTATTATGTTTTCATGATGAGAATTATTTTTGTTTACGTGACATAAACAAACGACCTGAATGATTTCGGTACAATCGAACGATTGATTCATGTCGATATTGTTTAATGAACAGTCCGTGTATTCAAGAAGATCAAAATGATCAATCAAATGTTATATGTTTATGTCCTAAGTGTCATTTTGGTTCCATATGTCAACATAATACACGTTTATTAAGTTTTTCCTTAGATTCATTGTTTGCTAATGATATACTCTCGAATTCTGTTCGAAGTCAACATCAATTTATTACTCTTTACATTGTCATACTTGTCGTCGTGCTAATCTTCGGTTTTTTCAATAACATTTCATGTTTTGTAACATTTCGTCGTCCAAAACCTCGACGAGGTATTTATGACTGAGTGAAAGTGTGTGACACTTCGGGTGAGGGTGATTATGTTTCTGGTTAATTGCTTTCATATCCATTGGACGTGCATATGTAATTGTGCTTCTTAATTATTTATGAAGTCATTTATTACGACGTTGTTCCTGATCCAAAATACACGAAAACGAGTACATGGTGTACGATGCAATATTATCAACATTTGTCCATTTATAGCCAAACAATAACTATATTTAATTATATGATTCCGTGTTTGATCAATTTTCTTTCTGTACTTATCCTTATTGTCGCTGTTACATGTAAACGTGCGAATGTCAATCGAAAACAATCGTGTATGAAAGTATTTCAACAGTATAAAGATTTATTTATTCCATCGATTTTTATCATTTTAAGTGCATTACCTCAGTTTATCATTTCATTCAGTTTAGCGTGTACACAATTCTTGGAAGTTCCATGGCAACGTTATTTGATCATAACATTCTACTTCTTATCCTATTTACCTCAAACGACGAACTACATTCTATTTATTTTACCTTCGAAATTTTACCAGACAGAGTTTGAGCAAACATCATTCGCACAAATATTAAACACATTGAAAAGTAAACTCACATGTCATTAATACACTGACTTTGCTTTGACATTATTCGCGAATAAAGCTTTTAACAGATGTTTCGAAATTAGAATCATGACCTGTTAGATTTTTTTGAGTAGCATCTTTTTCTCTCAATGAGAACTACAGTCGCTGTTACGAGTGTTCGCACCCTAAAGACCCAACTGTTTAAATTTATCTCTCGTTTGATAGAGCAAGTTTCCCAAAACCCTGTTACGCATCGTCGTATAAATTTGTCGAAACAGCGTCTCGTTTTTGTAAATGCATAACTCTATTGTTCAAAATAATGATAATCTAAGACAACGAATATCCGCCATCAATGATAATACTCTGCCCGGTGATATAGTCGGATTCGTTGCCAGCAAGGAACAAGACCAGATTCGCTATATCATCCGCTTTCGATATTTGTCCGAGCAGAATCTTTTGTAAAAGACTATTGTGAATATCTTCGGGAGTCACTTTATTGTACGCTGCAAGCTGTTGAGTGCATGATCCTACCATTTGAGTATCAACAACTCCTAGAAGGCAATATTAAATTTGTTATAGTGAAAGAGGAAACCAGAAAATATACCTGGACAATATGCGTTCACCGTAATTTTATGGGATGCCAGCTCGGCTGCCGCAGATTGCGTCAGACCACGAACACCCCATTTACTAGCACAATAATGAGCCAGCAATGGCATTGCCATGTAAGCAGCAACGCTGCATGCACCGATAATTTTACCTCCTTTACCTTGGTCAACCATGACTTTTGCAGCTTCTTTGTAACAAAGAAAAACTCCACGCAAATTAACCGACATAACTTTATCCCAGTCATCGGCAGGCATTTCAAGTAAAGCTTTCACTGGAGCAATTCCAGCATTGGCCACCATGACCTATACTATCTGTATAGAAAATGGAAAGACACATCGTCGAGTACATACGTTCAAACTTCCCATCTCTTTTGCAACATTTTTCACCATTGTTTGAACTTCCCTTTCGTTGGAAACATCGGCAATAACGGACAAAGATTTTCGCCCTAGTTTTTCGATTTCTTTACGAGTATCGTTCAGTTGATCAGAATTGACGTTGATATCATTAACAGCGACGTTCAGACCATCTCTTGCCAATCGAAGAGCAATACGTGACATCTAAGATAAAATAGACGACAGTTTAAATATTGCTTTTCTTGCGTCAAGTGGTGCAAATGTATATTAACTATATTTATTTCGACGATATGGAATAGAATGTGAATCGCTTTTTTGTGTTCTTTTCAACTACTAGCACGTTGCTTTGAAGATAAGATAACTGATGTATTATACGACCTTATTTCTTCTCTGCTTCTTTCTTACCGCACTTAAAAACCAAATGCAAAAAAAGATTGGTTTTACCTCGTGACCCAGCTCGTGGATTTAACGCAACATAACAAATATTTTAGAGCCATCTTTTGCATTTCACGACAATGAATGACTGGATAACACTTTTTGTAATAAATAAAAATCTATTTCGATGAAAATTGGCTTCTGATTGTATATCCATCCTCTGACTAGGAGAGTAAAAGGAACGATGACATATTAATATTATAATGAACAGAAAGAAGTCCAGAAGTATAGCTGCCTGAATATCTATAATATGAAGAGTTACTAACACCTGCAAACAGTAAACAAACGTCATTTTCATGTACCCGAAGGATTTTTTAATTTAAAACATGTATTGCAACAGGACATGCTATCTCTTTGTTTCTTTTATAGTAATCGCCTCTTTTTTCCCATGTTCAAATTCATTCGACAAGAATAACAAATAAGATGTCATTTTAACCAAGTACGCCGAGAGCTAAGTATGCGTGACTTCTGCAGAGAACAAATGAACTTTTCGTTTTCTTCTTTAACAGTACACTATACTATGTCGTCAGACTATGATTAGAGCACATCGTTATTCTATACTTCACCAGATTTACACCAATATGATGGATCCATATTAATGATTCTAGAAAGTATCAGCTGTATCTTTAGCCTGATTATAGCAGCATCATTTCGATCTATGCATCAACCGTATACGTCACCTTAGCGTATGGATGTTCGATTGACTTGACTACAAACAGTGTAGTCGTCGTATGCATACAAAATGTTCGTTTTCGATGCATCATGTCCAGGTTATTTAATATTGACTTCTCTCGATCGAGTACTGTTTACATGACATAACGCGTTAACACGATGCGAAAGTACTACACATCGTGCTTATATTTCCATCTTGATTGTGTAACCACATTCTGGATATTATATGGCATGTTCATGGATAGCAGATTTATCTGTTTCTACTTTTCGATCTGTGGTCGAAGCAGCTCTCATGCTTTTGATCACAATCACTTTAGGTTTCCGGAAGACGGGAAGAGTGCGCTCTGCTTCGGCTACAACGAAGCTGAAAGATCGACAACTGATTCGAACTTTACTGATGAATAGCACTATTTATATTCTATTCAACTGAATTCAGTCTTACTATCACGACCATTCCATTTTCTGTCGAAGAGTTAGATCGATCTGGTGGTGTTTTAGATCTTTCGGTAAGAAGTCAAAAACATTTTCATGGAAAACTATTTGAACGATAAAGACACACATCGGATAGTCTCGCACATCTGCACGATTGGAATGATAGTTTTCAAGGTTTCAACAGCAGTTGCTGGTTTTATTCTTCTTAAGCAAAAACTCTAGTAAAAGAGAAAATCAATGTTAAATTGGTATATCTATATCTAAAAAAGGTTAAATGAGTTTAGTTGAGTTAAGAATAATACTGCCAACATGCGACCTGATCGGTAAGGGTGAGTTATTTCGATTTTGGATCAGTTGTTTGATGAATCCTNGCATTAGACAAATATTTTCATATCAAAGAAAAAGATACACCAAATTTCGTTGCAAAGATTTGGCTTGATAATGATTATTGTGGTCAACATCAATACAAAGGTCGAACAACAAATACAACGACAGTCGATATTCCAATGAAAGTTGTTCTCTCCCAAACAAATGACAAAAATCTAATCATGCAAAAAGATGGTCGAGGTCGATTGTACTATCGTATTGCATTGAATTATGCACCCTCAAGTTTACAATTAAATGCTGCTAATTATGGTTTTAAAATCGAACGTACTTACGTAGGTGTTGATGATCCATCACATGTTCAAAAACAAGAAGATAACACATGGAAATTCAAATTAGGTGAGAAAGTTAAAGTTGTATTAACAATGACAACAACACAACGACGATATCACATTGCATTAGTGGATTATTTACCAGCTGGATGTGAAGTATTGAATACTCAATTGAAAGGGACAATAACCGGTGATACAGATTCGTCTGTGACAAGATCAAATCGACGTAGATATTATCCAAATTGTATTACCGGTTGGACTGAACACGAAAATTTACGTGATGAACGCGCTGAAGCATTTCGATCATTATTATGGCCCGGTGTTTATCAATGGAGTTACATTATGCGTGCAACATGTGCTGGAACATTCACCATGCCACCAGCAAAAGCAGAAGAAATGTACTCACCAGAGAATTTCGGTCGATCGGCAACAGAAAAGGCGATTATTAACTAAGAACATTTCTTTTCACGTAGTTAGCTTTTTCACCAGAATATTTTAATCATGTATAATAAACTAGACTTCTTTCTTTATACAACTCTTATTCGCAGTAGTGATCAATGAAAACAATAGAGAAATATTGTCTAATATCTACCTGATCCTTATCAAATCTAGTTGTAATCTTTTTAATAACTGGTAAATATGATTTGTAGTCAACGTTATCTTGTTACACTTTACTGCTTGATTCGACAATGCTTTACATTTGTTTTCATCTATCAAACAAACGATCAGGTGAAAACAGATTCTTATGATTGCATTCCTTACGCAAGTCCAAAGACGTTTTATATGAGAATTCAGGTATCGAATTAGCGGATTCTTATGCAGCATATTTGAACAAGTAAGGAAAGAATTCTTTGCAACATTAAACATTCCATACGATTGCTGTTTAGTTTGAGTGATCATACATCTAACTATGGTAAAGATATGTTTTTATGTAATTGCACAAAAGTTGGTACATTTGGTAAATTTTATGAATAATTCAACTTTTGAAGAAACCATTCAACATCAATTTAGCGTAAAGAGAATTCATAATTTTTGAAGTCAATATATAGGAAATCAAATATGTTAGAAAACTTTGGCATGTGATTCTGGTTTATTATGTCTTGATTGGAGAAATATATGTGATGGTAAACAACAATGTATTGATGAGGAATTCTTTCTTGATGGTAATATTGACTGTAAGAATCGAACCGATGAACAAGATAGAGTCTTAGGAAACGTTTCTATTCAATTTATCAACTGTACATTCAAACTCGATTTCAATTGTTCGTACTGGAATAGCCGTTTTTTTGTGGTGATGGTGAATTTTTATCCAGATGCAGCTGTCCTGTATAGCCAATTAGTTGAAAATGAACATTGTCTTAGTTTTTGAAAGAGAAATTTTATGCGTGAATTAGGTAACGCTGGGCCAATAGTGTGGACAGTGAAAAACGGGCACTGTGGGCTCTATTATCGATTAGGAGGTGATAATACAAACGATATGTTTATTTTTTATTAAATGCGCGTTAACCAATGATCGAGGACTCGGCTGTTCTTGCAACGGACAAAATTGTCGAAATATTATCATACACTATAATTGTACAACTAATGGCAGATATGTTGAGTATCCTATAGAAGGTATACTGGCTCCATATGTGAAAACATTTTATATATTGAATTATCTGTATGAAAATCGACGGCCGAATAATTTCTCATATTTTGGAAGTGTTAAATGCAATGGATTTCAAGTTACGGTAAAAGATCTAAGATTTATCGACTACGGTGCCTTCACGTTTGCTACGTCGAGTTTATGCCGCCACTTTGAACTCATTTATTGCATTACGATGAAAACTGTTGGAAAGGTTTATAGGAATCGTTTTGTTTGCCCAATCTCTCCGCGATGTGTAGCTGATGGAGAGATGGACTGTGAAGTAAACGACGACGAACCATATATCTTTAATATGGTCAGCTCTCCGAATATAACTATGAACTGTTGATCGATTCAAAAGCATCGGTTTCAATGTTTCAAAGAAGAACCATCATGTCTTTTGAGCGCAACTGATGGAGACTTCAGTCGACAATGTGTTACTAACAATCGCGATGAATATTCTACTGAAATGAACTTACAACTGTCGAATATTTTATGTATAATCGATAATTCTTTGGCATGTGCAGTTGTGAAACAATATATCGAACAATCTTCAGTTTTTACTTCAGTAATCAACACGATAGACAATAATGCAATCACTAGTTCGGGATTATCAACAACAGATTTGATACATTTTGGGATCTACAGTATGGTTTTGACGAAGGGGTGTCTATGTGTAAAGAATGGATCTGTCCAAGTAATTACTATCAATGCTTGAATGGACAATGCATTGAAATTGAATGGATTTGTGATGGTGAATGGAATTGTGCTGATACAAGTGACGAAGAAGGTTTCTTATCAATAATTAAATTGTCTTCACATAATTCTAGAGCTATTAATTTCAAAGAATTAAAAGTAGAATGCGAAAAATGATATAAAACCCTTCCGTTTTCAGATATCTGTACGAAACTTCAATATCCATGTTTATTTCACTGCAAATCCTCCATGCATAAACATGACGCATATAGGCGATGACAAATCTGATTGTTACGGTGGATTAGATGAACGAAGTATTCGTAGTTGTTTTCCACAACGAATGTTAAGTTTTATAACTTTGAGTGTGAATCAGAACATCCTAAGACAATACCTGATAGTCGTTGTAATTATCGAAAAGATGAGAAAAATGTTACTTTAACAATTAATTTAAATCAAAATAATTCTTGTCAACATACACATTCATTATTATTTATAGGCAAGTCGATTTTTCTCAAATATTCTCATTTTCAACTTTCTTTCTTAAGATATGAATATATCAAATCTCATATTCTATGTCAATATCAATTATGTATATGTTTATGTCCCAAGTGTCATTTTGGTTGCATATGTCAACATAATACACGTTTATTATTAAGTTTTTCGTTAGATTCACTACTTACTAATGATATATTTTCCAATTCAGTTAAAAGTCAACATTTATTTATTACTCTTTACATTGTCATCGTATTAATCTTCGTTTTTTTAAAAATAATATCTCATGTTTTGTGACATTTCGTCGTCTAAAACCTCGACGAGTTATTTATGACTGAGTGAAAATGTGTGACACTTCCCTGGTGAAGTTAAATTACACTATGGTCACTCTTTCGTTCAAAATAAATCCGTTTTTTAACTTGTTTTTATATTTTAGTTGGTGTTGGCTACTATTTGTTCATCAATTGTACTTTTGTTTCTAAAGATCATTTATTTCCTGTTAAGTGCAAGAGGTTTCATATTGAATTATACAATTAACATAATTCTGTGTAAATTGATTACATATGGTTTATCGTGTTTTACTCGATTATGTTTTTGGTTAATTACTTTCATATCCATTGAACGTGCGTATGTAACTGTGTTTCTAAATCATTTATGAAGTCATTTATTACGACGTTGTCCCTGATCCAAAATACACGAAAACGAGTACATGGTGTACAATGCAATATGATCAACGTTTGTCCATTTATAGCCAAACAATAACTATATTTAATTATATGATTCCGTGTTTGATCAATTTTCTTTCTGTACTTATCCTTATTGTCGCTGTTACATGTAAACGTGCGAATGTCAATCGAAAACAATCGTGTATGAAAGTATTTCAACAACAATTTCAACAGTACAAAGATTTATTTATTCCATCGATTGGAAGTTCCATGGCAACGTTATTTAATCATAGCATCCTACTTCTTATCCTATTTGCCTCAAATGACGAACTACATTCTATTTATTTTACCTTCGAAGTTTTATCAGACAGAGTTTGAGCAAACATCATTCGCACAAATATTAAACACATTGAAAAGTAAACTGACATGTCATTAATACACTGACTTTGCTTTGACATTATTCGCGAATAAAGCTTTTAACAGATGTTTCGAAATTAAAATCATGAGCTGCTAGATTTTTTGAAGAACATCTTTTTTCTCTCAGTGAGAACTACAGTCGCTGTTACGAGTGTTCGCACCCTAAAGACCCAGCTGTTTGAATTTATCTCTCGTTTGATAGAGCAAGTTTCCCAAAATCCTGTTACGCATCGTCGTATAAATTTGTCGAAACAGCGTCTCGTTTTTGTAAATGCACAACTTTATTGTTCAAAATAATGATAATCTAAGACAACGAATATCCGCCATCAATGATAATACTCTGACCAGTGATATAGTCGGATTCGTTGCCAGCAAGGAACGAGACAAGATTCGCTATATCATCCACTTTCGATATTCGTCCGAGCAGAATCTTTTGTAAAAGACTGTTACGAATATCTTCGAGAGTCATTTTATTGTACGCTGCAAGCTGTTGAGTGCATGATCCTACCATTTGAGTATCAACAACTCCTAGAAGACAATATTAAATTTGTTATATTGAAAGGGGAAATCAGAAATTATACCTGGACAATATGCGTTCACTGTAATTTTATGGGGTGCCAGCTCAGCTGCCGCAGATTGCGTCAGACCACGAACACCCCATTTACTAGCACAATAATGAGCCACCAATGGCATTGCCATGTAAGCAGCAACACTGCATGCACCGATAATTTTACCTCCTTTACCTTGATCAACCATGACTTTTGCAGCTTCTTTGTAACAAAGAAAGACTCCACGCAAATTAACCGACATAACTTTATCCCAGTCATCGGCAGACATTTCAAGTAAAGCTTTCACTGGAGCAATTCCAGCGTTGGCCACCATGACCTATACTATCTGTATAGAAAATGGAAAGACACATCGTTGAGTACATACGTTCAAACTTCCCATCTCTTTTGCAACGTGTTTCACCATTATTTGAACTTCCTTTTCGTTGGAAACATCGGTAATAACGGACAAAGATTTTCGACCTAGTTTTTCGATTTCTTTACGAGTATCGTTCAGTTGATCAGAATTGACGTTGATATCATTAACAGCGACATTCAAACCATCTCTTGCCAATCGAAGAGCAATCGCTCGACCCATCCCTTGAGCAGCACCAGTTACTAGAGCAATACGTGACATCTAAGATAAAATAGATGACAGTTTAAATATTGCTTTTCTTGTGTCAAGTGGTGCAAATTTATATTAACTATATTTATTTCGACGATATGAAATAGAATCTGAATCGGGTTTTTGTTCTTTTCCACTACTAGCACGTTGCTTTGAAGATAAGATAACCGATGTATTATACGACCTTATTTTTTCTCTGCTTCTTTCTTACCGCACTTAACAACCAATGCAAAAAAATATCGGTTTTACCTCGTGACCCAGCTCGTTGATTTAACGCAACACAACAAATATTTTAGAGCCATTTTTTGCATTTCACTACAACGAATAGCTGGATAACACTTTTTCTAATAAATAAAAATCTATTTCGATGCAAATTCACTTCTGATTGTATATCCATCCTCTGACTAGGAGAGTAAAGGGAACGATGAAATATTAATATTATAATGAACAGAAAGAAGTCCAGAAGTAAGGTACAAAAGATAAATTAGCTGCCTGAATATCTATAATATGAAGAGTTACTAACACCTGCAAACAGTAAACAAACGTCATTTCCATGTACCCGAAGGATTTTTTAATTTCGAACATGTATCGCAGCAGGTCATGCTATCTCTTTATTTCTTTTTATAGTAATCGCCTCTTTTTTCCCATGTCAAATTCATTCGACAAGAGTAACAAATAAGATGTCATTTTAGCCAAGTCCGTCGAGAGCTAAGTACGCATGACTTCTGCAGAGAACAAATGAACTTTTCGTTTTCATTTTTAACAGTACACTACCATGTCGTCAGACTATGATTAGAGCATATCGTTATTCTATACTTCACCAGATTTACACCAATATGATGGATTCATATTAATGATTCTAGAAAGTATTAGTTGTATCCTTAGCCTGTGTGTTTTTTTGGTCGAGAAACTTTATGAAAAAATCCATGTTCAATCTACTTCATAGTTACGTATATTAGCAGCATCCTTTCTATCTATACATTAATCGTATACGTCACCTTAGGGTATGAATATGCGATTGACCTGACTAATCACATGTAGTGTAGTGGTCGTACGTATACAAAATGTTTGTTTTCGATGCATTATGTCCAGGTTACTTAATATTGACTTCTGTTGATCGAGTGCTGTTTAAATCACATAACGCGTTAATACGATGCGAAAGCACTACACACCGTGCTTATATTTCCATTTTGATTGTAACCACATTCTGGATGTTATATGGCATGTTCATGTATAGCAGATTTTTCTGTTTGTACTTTTCGATCTGAACTATATCTATCAATGGTGAATTATTATCCATTTGTGGTCGGAGTAGCTCTCATGCTTTTGATCACAATCACTTTAGGTTTCCGGAAGACGATAAGAGTGCGCCCTGCTTTGGCTACAACGAAGCTGAAAGATCGACAACTGATTCGAATTTTACTGATGAATAGCACTATTTATATTCTATTCAATTGAATTCAGTCTTACTATCACGATCATTCCATTTGCTGTCGAAGAGTTACGTAGATCAATCTGGTGGTGTTTTAGATCGTTCGGCTAGAAGTCAAAAACATTTTCATGGAAAGCTATTTGAACGAAAAAGACACACAAGGGATAGTCTCTCACATCTGCACGATTGGAATTATACTTTTCAAGGTTTTAACAGCAGTTGCTGGTTTTATTCTTCTTAAGCAAAAACTCTAGTAAAAGAGAAAATCAATGTTTAATTGGTATATCTATATCTAAAAAAGGTTAAATGAGTTTAGTTGAGTTAAGAATAATACTGCCAACATGCGACCTGATCGGTAAGGGTGAGTTATTTCGATTTTCGATCAGTTGTTTGATGAATCCTAGTGGATTTGAATGAAATCGAGACTGATGAAGTTGTAATGACAAACGATGCTCTGGATTTGCCACGAAACCATCAGCAGCAATCCATTCTTTCTCAAACGCATCTTTCGAGGCTTCTGTTCGAGGCTTAGGACATAGACTTAAGCATTGACAAAAGGCTGTCTGTTCCTCAACAGTTTCAAAGTAAAGAGTACCGTTGAAAATGAACAATTGAACCAGCCAATCGTTGGGCAGAAGGAAATTCACGTTATTGTCATTGGCAAATCGAATTAATGGAGGAACAGTCAAAGTAGGAGTGTTAACAAAAATCGACTGAATGCGTTTTGTCCGAGGTAATAATAAACGCAGTGTGGTAATGGGTGATTCGTTGGATGGTAACCGACCCATCAACCAATTGGCTTCGAATGGACTTAGAAGAATAAGTTGCTGATTTCGATAGACGACAATCCACCGGGGAGGCCGTAGAAATGGATTCAATGATTCTCCTTTTGTTGCAATGACATGTTGAAATTCAGTCGAAACCCACAGGTTTGGCAGCCAGCTGTTTGCTTGACAAATTTTGAAGAGTGTTGTATTAGTGAAAGCATAATTCAAATGTTGAAACACTGCACGTGAATTTGCGATATCTACGTTTTCATTAAGTTCACACAATTTCATTATTTCTTTGTGTAAAATCGGTTGACATGGTTGAACGGCAGGAGGACGTTGCAACTGTCGTTCTTCTTCTAATTCCTGTTCTAATTCTCGTTGTTGCTCTTCATCCAACAACTGTGCCAAACGTCGTTTTTTTCCACCGTATTTCTTTAGTTGTCTTAATACGGCTTGCTGAATTTGTCTTGACGAAGCATCACCCACATCC